GCCGCCGACCCTGAAGACGACGACGACGACGACGACGACGACGACGACGACGACGAGGAGGAGGAGGAGGAGGAGGAGGAGGAGGAGGAGGAGCAGGAGCAGGAGCAGGAGGAGGCGGACGACGCGGTGGAGCAGGAGCAGGATGAGGAGGAGAAGAGGAGGAGGAGGAGGAGGCGGAGAAGAATGATGAGGGGGGAGCAAGGGCAGGGGGAGGGGTGGGGAATGAGCAGTCAGTAGGAGGACGAGGATAATGGGAGTCGGAGGAGCAGGAGAAAAAGGAGTACGCGGAGAAGGGGTCTGGGGGCCGATTTTGAGCGGATGTGGCTTCCCCCTTCCTGACACCGATTTTCTGGGGTAGTTCAGACCCCCTGGCCTCCTCCAAGCTGGAAGTCCCGCCAGATAATTACACGCCGGTCGCTGAAAGTAGGTATTTTTGGACTCCGAGGTCCCAATCTACTTCAAGCGCCTTCCTACTTCAAGAATCGACACGCTTTTGCTGTGTTTTGTTATTCTCTGGGGGGGCCTGGACCCAATCAAGTTGATCCGCCTTCCTACTTCATGTAGGCTCGCAGGCAGAATAGCCCCTTCATGTCTTTTGATGCGTTCCCAATGGTAGCCCGATGACTGCACCTGGGTGTAATGCTGTCGTCCGTGTTTGTAGTGCGTTGCAGCCGCTCTCCGCTCATCCCGTTGCTACGGTGTTCGGTTCACTTGGCCGCGGCCTGGCAATTACTCTCACGCTGCGGGATCCGCTCACGTCGCTGCGACCCAGCAAGTGCCTGTCGTGCGGAGGAGGAGGAGGAGGAGGAGGAGGAGGAGGAGGAGGAGGAGAGGAGAAGGAGAAAGAGGGAGGAGGCGAAGAGGAGGAGGAGGGAGGAGAGGGAGGAGGAGGAGGAGGAGGGAGGAGATGGGAGGAGGAGGAGGAGGAGGAGGAGGAGGAGGAGGAGGAGGAGGAGGAAGAGGAGGAGGAGGAGGAGGAGAGGAGCAGGAGGAGAGGAGGAGGAGAAGAGCAGGAGGAGGAGGAGGAAGGAGGAGAGAGGAGGAGGAGGAGGAGAAGAAGAGGAGGAGGAGGAGGAGGAGGAGGAGGAGGAGGAGGAGGAGGAGGAGGAGGAGGAGGAGGAGGAGGAGGGAGGGGAGGAGGAGGAGGAGGAGGAGGAGGAGGAGGAGGAGGAGGAGGAGGAGGAGGAGGGAGGAGGAGGAGGAGGAGAGGAAGGGAGGAGGGAGGAGGGAGGAGGGAGGAGGGAGGAGGGAGGAGGGAGGGTGGGAGGAGGGGGAGGAGGTGGAGGAGGAGGAGGAGGAGCAGGAGGGAGGGAGGGAGGGAGGAGGAGGAGGGAGGAGGGAGGAGGGAGGGAGGGAGGGTGGAGGAGGGAGGGAGGGAGGGAGGGAGGGGGAGGGAGATGGCGGGGTCCCGCAGGATGAGGAGGAGAAAGAGCGCGAGGGAGGATCGGCCGCGAGCCCGAGGGGCGGGCCGCCTTCCGAGAAGTCTTCGAAGCCCTCCCCGAAGCGACGGGAAGCTTCTCAGAAGGCGCGAGGGTCTCTCTGAGAAGTCCTGCCGCCTTCCGAGACGGCGTTCTCTTTCTCGCCCTCTCCCTCCTCGCTCGCCGCCGAGGGGAGGCCAGGGAGGCGAGGAGGCGGGGAGGCACGAGGAGCGCCTCCGAGCCCGCCTCCTGGCTGCAGCCGCCGCCGCCCCCCCTCCCCCCCCCCCATTGCCTCGGCCGGCCCTCGCGGAGGAGAGCACCGCAAGCCCGCCGAGCGACGGGGCCCGCACGCGCCAGCGGCCGAGCCAGAGGCGCAGGGGGCCCGGGCGGCCGCCGCGTTTGATCGGAGGCCTCCGCCTTCTCGCGGGCCGGACGAGAGGATCTTGGCATCGCTCGGACGTGTGCCTCTTTTCTCGGCTCGCTGCGGGCCATCGCGGAGCATCCTGGATCGTCGAGAACGAGAGGTGCAAGGGGAACATGGACGTCCGAGCGATGGCAGGGTGTAGGATAGAGAAAGGGGGGGGACGAAATCTGCTGCACGCATCTAGTCTCGGTCCCGCCGCCGGGCCCACTCCTCGACACATGGGCACCTCCTGGCGCCAGGAGTCGCCGGAGCCTGGGCGGCCGCCGCGTCTGCTCGGTGGCTTCCGCCTCCTCGAGAGGAGGAGGACTCGAGCTGAACGGAGTTTTTGCCGATCTCGTCGGGCCGTTTTCGTTTTGACTCCGTCTCGCAGAAGAGGGGGAACGAAGACAGAACGAGGGCCAACGAAAGCAAGACGAGCACGAGAAGCACTGGGAATTTTCGGCGATCTCGTGGGCCGTTTTCGTTCTGACCCCGTCCCGCAGCAGAGGTGGAACGAAGACGGAGCGAGGGCCAACGAAAACAAGACGAGCATGAGAAGCACCGTTTCGCTCGAGCCCGTTCTGACTCCGTCCCGCAGCAGAGGTGGAACGAAGCCGGAGCGAGGGCCAACGAAAGCAAGACGAGCACGAACAGCTTACCGTTTCGCTCGAGCCCTGGGCGCCGGGGCCCCAGCGGCCGCCGCGTTGGGTCGCAGGCCTCCGCCTCCTCTTCGAGAGGAGGAGGGGCGGAGGAGTGGAGTGGGGAAGGCGGGGAGGAGGAGGAGGAGGAGGAGGAGGAGGAGGAGGAGGAGGAGGAGAGGAGGAGGAGGAGGAGGAGGAGGAGGAGGAGGAGGAGGGGGAGGAGGAGGGGGAGGAGGAGGAGGAGGAGGAGGAGGAGGAGGAGGAGGAGGAGGAGGAGGAGGAGGAGGAGGAGGAGGAGGAGGAGGGGGAGGAGGAGGGGGAGGAGGAGGGGGAGGAGGAGGGGGAGGAGGGGGAGGAGGAGGAGGGGGTGGGGAAGGCGGGGAGGACGGGTGGGCGGTCCGCAGGCAGGGGGATCTCCCCCTATCCTGCCTCCCTTCCTCCACTCGGGCACTCTCCAATATTCCCCCGCTCTCTCTATTGCTCTCTCTCTCTCTTTCTCTCTATTGCTCGCGTCCTCTCTCTCTCTCTCTATTGCTCTCTCTCTCTCTCTCTTTCTCTATTGCTTCCATCCTGCCTCCCTTCCTCCACTCGCGTCCTCTCTCTCCTGTTGCTCTCTCTCTCTCTCTTTCTCTCTCTGGCGTCTCTTTCCACCACCGCCCTTCGTCCCTCAGGCGCCGTGCTGCTCCCTCACGGATGTCTCTGCAGGCGTCCATGATGCAGTTATGTTTGGTAGAGTTTGCGCGTATATCACAATGCAGCAGCGTCATGAGATCAGAGATCTACTCATTAGGCAATTGACGTGCTGATTGTCTCGTCTTCGTGCTATCGTTGGAATTTTCGTCGTGGTATCTCGTGTCCCCTTCTTCCTCTCGTCTCCTCTCCTCCTTGCTCCCATTCGTGATGCTGTTGTTTCTCAGCTTCGTCCTGCTGCTGCTGCTGCTGCTCCTCCCTTGTATCTGCACGGTCCCTTCTCCATCCCTGCCCCGCCTTCCTTTCTCATCCACGCGGCCTTCCCTCCAGTTCGTTGCGCGTCGTGTATCCCCACCAGCCCATCCAGAAGCAATTCTCAGGTACCTCGACCAGCGGAGTACAGGAGTATGCGGAAGCACAGAGGGGGGCGGGGCAGCAGTCTCATCATTTGCACATCAGTCATCGTATCTTTTTCTACCGGCCGGATGGCCTACGGCAGGGGCACCCCGAAAGTGTTGTACGAGGATGAGGAGGATGCAAAGGAGCGGGAAGCTTCGACAAGACCTCATGGCCGACTCCTGTATCTCCCGTGGCGTGGGAGAGAGCACATGACAGCATCGCGGGCGGAGGAAATAGGTTCACGGGTGAAGAGAGGCAGAGTAGTGAAAGGAGGAGGAGGAGGAGGAGGAGGAGGAGCAGGAAGCACAGGAGGAGGAGGAGGAGGAGGAAGAGCTCGGGGAAGAGAAATCCAGCAGTCAACCGTAAAGGCCGTTTGGTGGCTCCCTGGGATCCTCTTGGAGGCTTCCTGGTGCACTCTTGCATTAAATTGTGCCTATTTGGAGGTCTGGGGTATCTTGAGGCCCTCGGGGCCTTCTCCTGGATTGATTTTAGAGACCATGAACCGAACAAGAGAGGCCCCCGAATTGACCTCGCCCGTTAGACCACAACTCATGGCCTCTAGGGGGGGGAGCTCTTGTCACGCTCTTGGGGCACTTTCGGGAGCCTACGGGTTCCTCTTGGGGCCCCTCTAGGCCCCTCTTGGGGCTCTCTCGGGCGATCTTCGGACCATCTTGATGTTCCTGAGGTACATCGGAAACTAAACTGCCTTCAGGCACGCATCATCAGATCAATGTGTTTTTTTGTTCATTGGGACTCTCGAGCAGTCTTTGGCGTTACAAGGGGCCTCTTGGAGCCAGGTCGGACGCCTTGTTGGTCCGACGTGTTCCATCTTGCGCCATGTTGGGGACAGCCTCGGGGCATCTGGGACCATCATGCCACCATTTCGGACCCGAACGGGCCATGCGACAAACTCGCGCCCCTCCTGCAGACTCAGGGGGGTTGGGTCCTGCAGGGAAGGATCAAGCTCCCAACGGAAATCAGGAGGGAAAAACACACAGACACAATTAATCGTCGATCCCAAGGAAAATATGGGAAGACAAAAACTTAGTAAATATGGGAAAATATGGGGGATCGTTTGATATTTGTGTGTATCTATTTGTGTGTCCTTGGGCCCCCTGAGGAAAGGCCAGCACGTGCCAGGTGCGCCACGCCCACGAGGCGCGCCGGGCGACCGAGCGTGCCGCGCCTGTCACGCCAGAAGCGCCACGTGCGCCAAGTGCGCTCGGTATGCCACGTGCTTCAACCGCGCGCCGGCTGCGCGACGCGCGAAAAGCCAGCCAGCTGCGCCTTGGCGTCGCTCGGGCGTGTGCGTTTTTTCTCGGCGAGAACCATCGAGGACCATCCTCGACCAACGAGCAAACAAAAAAACACGCACGAAACCGGAAAAAAAACACGGGAAACGGACGTCCGAGCGACGGTGAGCAGAAGCGCCACGTGCGCTAAGTGCGCTCGGTATGCCGCGTGCTTCAGCCGTGCCGGCTGCGCGACGCGCGAAGAGCCTCGGGAGCCTCGAGACTGGGGTCAGTGCAAACGGGGGTCAGCCAGGGTACGGGATCCTGCAGGATCCTGCGAAGACACCCTCCAGCTGACCCGGGTCAGGGAGCCGCTCGTGGCCGCGAGGCGGCCGCGCCTATTGGCTGGCCCGGGTTTGCGAAGCCCTGCGCTGCAGTTTTTGTTCCTGCATTGCAGTTTTTTGGTTTCCTGCTGACCCGGGTATGGATTGACCCGGGTCAGAAGATCCCCGAGAGCCCGCCAATTGCACGCGGCGGCACACATTGGGCAATCTGCCGACCCCCACGCCGTTCCCGTTCACACCCCCAGGGTCCCTGTCAGTCAGCAGTCAGGGTTCGGGGTTCTCCTGACTTCGGCCGAAATTCTTCCGCTCCGTCGGGGCGTGCCCCCGCCCCACACTCACCATCGCTCATCGTTGGCGCGCGGGGATCTGGCACTGTAGCCGCAGGGGAAATGCGGTGGGATTGGCGACAGCGCGCATGTGGAAACAGCAGACATACGTCAATGCGAAGTGGCGGCGGGGTGGCCAGCATGGTGCATCGAGTGTGGGCCAGCGATGTGTTAGCATGCGTTTTGGGAAGATTTGGTCGGCTAGCGCATTGTGGACAACTGATACCCCCCACGACCCCTGTCGAAAAAGAGTGCGGAATCATGATGGGGATTCCGCGCGTGGTCCAGCGTTTGCCGCGAAGCGAGCGTTATATCGTTTGTGTCAAGAAGTGTTGGGGGTTTGCTGTCTTGTGTCTTAAACGGCGGCCACTCGAGATGTGGGTCGGGTTGCATGTTCACAGGGAGAAGGGGGATGAAGAAGCAGCCTTCATCATAAGCCAGTTCCGCCTTCCGCGATCCCCTCTGCGCCCCGCCTTCTGCGTCGTCGTCCGCGCACCAGGTGCCCGAGGCCGTCCCAGTCCCCCCGTTCGCCGCCTGCCTTGTCATCCTTTTGCCATCGGGAGCCGCCGTGCGCCAAGGAATCTCAATGACTCGTACCCCTCGCGGAGCACGCTGAAAGTCGCGGACAGGAGCGCTCGTACATCCATTCTGTTTGATCGGTACGCTCACTGTGCCGGCCCACTGCGCATCGCTCTGGCTGCGCGGTGGCGTGCCCGTGCCCAGGGGGAGCGGCATTGCTAGCAGGACGGTTCTTGGGAGATGTTTAGGGATGTGGCTCGCACCCTGGCGAGGAGAGCCGACAGACTGCCCCAGCGGGCGCCAAGATGGATCAAGAGAGACCCGACAGAATTTCGACACGTGCCTGAATTGTGGATCAAAGCCCTCATGGATGTTTTTATTCCCAACCATCCTGTGGTGTTGGGTCCTCGTTTTGAAGAGACAGCGCCCCGCGTCTCAGCTCCTCCTCCCGCTGCCCCCTCCCCCCTCCTCTTCCCTCCCTGCGTTTCACCCACCCAGTACAGCGATTCGTGGCCTCATAGGGAGCTTCACCGAAGGCGCCAGTGGCAGGGTTCGCATGGCGGCCTCGGGCCATTTCGGCACACCCCTCACGAGGATCGGTGGCCCATAGGGAGTTCCACCGAAGGCTCCAGTGGCAGGGTTCGCATGGCGGCCCTGGGCCATTTCGGCGCACCCCTCACGTGGATCGTGGCCCCTCAGGGAGCTCCACCGAAGGCGCCAGTAGCAAGGTTCGCACGGCGGCCCTGGGCCATTTTGGCACACCCCTCACGAGGATCGTGGCCCCTAAGGGAGCTCCACCGAAGGCCCCAGTGGCAGGGTTCGCATGGCGGCCTCGGGGCATTTCGGCACACCCCTCACGAGGATCGTGGCCATATAGGAGCTCCACCGACGGCTCCCAGTGGCAGGGTTCGCATGGCGGCCTCGGGCCATTTCGGCACACCCCTCACGAGGATCGTGGCCCCATAGGGAGCTCCACTGAAGGCCCCAGTGGCAGGGTTCGCATGGCGGCCTCGGGCCATTTCGGCACACCCCTCACGAGGGAGGATCGTGCCCCCATAGGGAACTAGCTCCACCGAAGGCGCCAGTGGCAGGGTTCGCATGGCGGCTTCGGGCCATTTCGGCACACCCCTCACGAGGATCGTGCCCCCATAGGAGCTCCACCGAAGGCGCCAGTGGCAGGGTTCGCATGGCGGCCTTGGGCCATTTCGTCGCACACCTCACAAGGATCGTGGCCCCATGGGGAGCTCCACCGAATGCGCCAGTGGCAGGGTTCGCATGGCGGCCTCGGGCCATTTCGGCACACCCCTCACTAGCATCGTGGCCCCTCAGGGAGCTCCACCGAAGGTGCCAGTGGCAGGGTTCGCATGGCGGCCTCGGGGCATTTCGGCACACCCCTCACGAGCATCGTGGCCCCTCAGGGAGCTCCACCGAAGGCCCCAGTGGCAGGGTACGCATGGCGGCCTCGGGCCATTTCGGCACGCCCCTCACGAGGATCGTCGCCCCATAGGAGCTCCACCGAAGGCGCCAATAGCAGTTTCCTTCATGGCTCTCAGAGCCCTTTCCTGCTTCTGTCCTCGTCGTCGTCGGCGCCCGCGAAGACGGCCACGAACGTGTCCCTGAGCATGCCGGGCTCTGGCGGGAAACCGTGGCCACACTGGGGGCACAGGCGAAGATGGTATTCACAATTGCGGTATTCACAACTGCGTATGGTTGGGTCCTTCGCCAGGGTAATTTAGGGTTTTTCAGAAAGGGGGCCTCTGGGAAGCAGCTGTGAGGCCTCGGGGGGGCATTTTTTCCCAACCCTCCTGCGTTGGGTATTCGTTTTGAATAGAGCACTGCGGTCTCCGTTCTCCTCCTCCCGCCCCCCCCCTCTCTTCCCTCCTCCTCTCCTCTCTTGCTTGCCTTCTCCTCCTCTCTTCGCTCCTCCTCTTCTCTTCTCTTGCCTTTCACGTCATCCCTGGCGGGCTGCGATCTGCGGAACTGTCACCACTTTCGAGGGCTGCTGGTGGGTCCAGCGGAGTGAGGCACCACGGGGACTCAGACTAGACCTCGCCATCCCTGGGGGGGGGGGCTGCGATCTGTGAAACTGTCGCCACTTTCGAGGGCTGCTGGTGGGTCCAGCGGAATGAGGCACCACGGGGAGTCAGATTAGACCTCGCCATCTCTGGGGGGGCTGCGATCTGTGAAACTGTCACCACTTTCGAGGGCTGCTGGTGGGTCCAGCGGAGTGAGGCACCACGGGGACTCAGATTAGACCTCGCCATCTCTGGGGGGCTGCGATCTGTGAAACTGTCGCCACTTTCGAGGGCTGCTGGTGGGTCCAGCGGAGTGAGGCACCACGGGGACTCAGATTAGACCTCGCCATCTCTGGGGGGCTGCGATCTGTGAAACTGTCGCCACTTTCGAGGGTTGCTGGTGGGTCCAGCGGAGTGAGGCACCACGGGGACTCAGATTAGACCTCGCCATCCCTGTGTGAAACTGTCGCCACTTTCGAGGCTGCTGGTGGGTCCAGCGGAGTGAGGCACCACGGGGACTCAGATTAGACCTCGCCACCCTTGGGCGGCTGCGATCTGTGAAACTGTCGCCACTTTCGAGGGCTGCTGGTGGGTGGCCAGCGGAGTGAGGCACCACGGGGATTCAGATTCTGACCACGAGCAATGCTCGCGTGCCCTTGCTCTGCGGTTCGTGCCGCGTGGCGCTGCGACTCGAGCTGGCGGTCGTCCTTCGGACCCGCAGAAACATCTGCTGAGCTCGATGAGCCAGGGGAACTACAGGAAATAAGTGCAGGAAACGGAGGCCGGTCATGCACTCGCCGATACCTCGTTGCTCTGTCATCGTTTTTGCTGTTGCATGATCCTTATCTGGCCTGCCGGCGCCGCGGCTCGAGCTGGCGGTCGCCCTTCGGGCCCGCGGGAACATCTTCTGAGACAAGTGGACGCCGCCGCCTTACTTGCAGGCAGCGCATTGCATTCGCGGACAGCAGCATGGCAGACCGCAGTGAGATCCTCAGTCGCGTGGTGTTGCCAAGCCTGGTGGAGACGCGCGTGATCGACCTGAAGTCCCAATCGCGCGTGCACTGTACCTGCGTGGCGTTCAGGCACGCGCGTGATGCTGCTCGCTCCGCGTTCAACCAGTACGTCGCCAGTGCAACTTTGGACGATGGACAACCGATTGATGATGCGCGACCCCAGCCTTGAGTTTCTTTCCCGCGGGCCGCCCGCAGACCTGGCGGCGCGCCTGCGAGCGTTCAGCTCCCGCGCTGAAATGTGCGGGAAGGAGGCGGAGAAGCTAGCGGGCGAGCTACGCCTCGCTCGTTCCTTGCATTCTAAACAAGTTGTATCATGTGGAACTCTGCGACGACATGGCGCAGGCAGCGCTGCGGGTTTAGCTCGCACTTGAAAAACGCGGCAGTCTTCTGTCTCCTCCCGCCACTTTCATCGTCGTCCTATTCCCCGCCTCACCTTCTCCATGCATGCTGCTGCTTCCGCGATGGCCTTTCGCCCCCCCCGCCCCCCATTCCATCCCTCTCCTACCCCTCGTTCCCGTGCCCGTTCTTCTTCGATCTTGGGGCCTCAAGCCTCGTTCTTTCGATCGTCGTCCTGTGAATCGTGCGGCGCATGCGCATCCCATGTAGTTTGCACAGCAAATCGCCGCGTCTACACTGTCGTTGTTCCTGCTAATGTTGGCATGCTCCTCTTGCCATTTGATGCACGTGGGTTGGGTACGTCGCAGGGTATTTTTTTGTTTAGGGGGGGGGGCCTCTTGGGATGTCCTGGGGGCTCGTTGGGGGCCTTGGGAACATGTTTTGGGGCATTTTGAGGGCCTCTTGTGGCCTCTTGGGGGGCTTTTGGAGGACTTTGGTGGCTTCCTGGGCGCCCTTCGTGGCCGAACGCCTTGGGCCTCCGCGAGATCATCCGCCAGATCTTCCGCCAGATCTTCCGCCGGATCTTCCGCCAGATTTTCCGCCAGATCTTTTCGAGATCTCCCGCCATATCTTCCGAGTGATCTTCCGCCAGATTTATTCTCTATAGATTTTCCGCGGGATCTTCCGCCAGATTTTCCGCTAGATTTTCCGTCCGATCTTTCGCCAGATCTTCCGCCAGATCTTCCTCCATCATATGTTTCCGCAACTATTCCCGAAACGCTCCTCCATATTTATCGTTTTGCAACAGCGTCAAGTCTTCCTTTGGGTACTCCCCAGATCTCGCGACTGATTTGTCCCACATATTCCTCCTGCTGTTCTATGGTGTTCCTTGTTTTGTTTCATGCCGCGTCGCGGGTTCGTTTCTCTTTTTTTCCCAACCATCCTGTGGTGTTGGGTCCTCTCCTCGTTTTGAAGAGACAGCGCCCCGCGTCACTCCTTCCTCCCGCTGCCTCCTCCTTCCTCTTTCCTCCCTCATTGCACCCACCAGATACAGCGCTTCGTGGCCCCATAGGGAGCTCCACCGAAGGCGCCAGTGGCAGGTTTCGCATGGCGGCCTCGGGCCATTTCGGCACACCCCTCACGAGGATCGTGGCCCGATGGGAGCTCCACCGAAGGCCCCAGTGGCAGGGTTCGCATGGCGGCCTCGGGCCATTTCGGCACACCCCTCACGAGGACCGTGGCCCCATAGGAGCCCCACCGAAAGCGTCATTAGCACGGTTCGCATGGCGGCCTCGGGCCATTTCGGCACACCCCTCACGAGGATCGTGGCCCCATAGGAGCTCCACCGAAGGCGCCAGTGGCAGGGTTCGCATGGCGGCCTCGGGCCATTTCGGCACACCCCTCACGAGGATCGTGGCCACATAGGGAGCTCCACCGAAGGCGCCAGTAGCAGGGTTCGCATGGCGGCTTCGGGCAATTTCGGCACACCCCTCACGAGGATCGTGGCCCCATAGGAGTTCCACCGAAGGCCCCAATAGCAAGGTTCGCATGGCGGCCCCAGGCCATTCCGGCACACCCTTCAAGAGGACCGTGGCCCCATAGGAGTTCCACCGAAGGCGCCAGTGGCAGGGTTCGCATGGCGGCTTCGGGCCATTTCGGCACACCCCTCACGTCCACCGAAGGCCCCAGAGGCAGGGTTCGCATGGCGGCCTCGGGCCATTTCGGCACACCCCTCACGGGGATCGTGGCCCCGTAAGGAGCTAGCTCCACCGAAGGCCCCAGTGGCAGGTTTCGCATGGCGGCCTCGGTCCATTTCGGCACACCCCTCACGAGGATCGTGGCCCAATAGGGAACCCCACCGAATGCGCCAGTGGCAGGGTTCGCATGGCGGCCTCGGGCCATTTCGGCACACCCCTCACGAGGATCGTGGCCCCATAGGAACTCCACCGAAGGCGCCAATGGCAGTCTCCCTCATGGCTCTCAGAACCTTTTCCTGCTTCTGCTCTTCGGTCAGGGGGACGGACGCCGTCCTCGTCGTCGTCGGCGCCCGCGAAGACGGCCGCAAACGTGTCCCTGAGCATGTCGGGCTCCGGCGGGAAGCCGTGGCCACATAGGGAGCGCGGGCGAAGATGGTATTCACAATTGCTGTATCCACAACTGCGTATGGTTGGGTCCTTCGCCAGGCGAATTAAATTAATAGTTTTGTTGTCTGCCTTGCTTCGGGGCTGCAGTCTCTACGGGACAACCTAGTATTTATGAAACTCCCTGTTGCCAACCATCTTGCGGTGTTGGGTCTTCGTTTTGAAAAAGACAGCGCCCCGCGTCACTCCTCCCTCCCGTTGCCCTCCTCCTTCCTCCCTGCGTTTCACCCACCCAGTACAGCGTTTCGTGGCCCCCTAGGGAGTTCCACCGAAGGCCCCAGTGGCAGGGTTCGCATGGCGGCCTCGGGTCATTTCGGCACACCCCTCACGAGGATCGTGGCCCCATAGGGAGCTCCACCGAAGGCTCCAGTGGCAGGGTTCGCATGGCGGCCTCGGGCCATTTCGGCACGCCCCTCGCGATGGCCCCATAGGGGCTCCACCGAAGGCGCCAGCGGCAGGGTTCGCACGGCGGCCTCGAACCGAGGATCGTGGCCCCATAGGGGAGCTCCACCGAAGGCGCCAGTGGCAGGGTTCGCATGGCGGCTTCGGGCCATTTCGGAACACCCCTCACGAGGATCGTGTCCACATAGGGAGCTCCACCGAAGGCGCCAGTGGCAGGGTTCGTATGGCGGCCTCGGGCCATTTCGGCACACCGTTCACGAGGATCGTGGCCCCATAAGGGAGCTCCACCGAAGGGTCCCAGTGGCAGGGTTCGCACGGCGGCTTCGGGCCATTCCGGCACACCCCTCACCAAGATCGTGGCCACAGAGGGAACTCCACCGAAGGCCCCCAGTGGCAGGGTTCGTATGGCGGCCTCGGGCCATTTCGGCACACCCCTCACGAGGATCGTGGCCCCATACCGAAGGCGCCAGTGGCAGGGTTCGCATGGCGGCCTCGGGCCATTTCGGCACACCGCTCACGAGGATCGTGGCCCCATAGAGAGCTCCACCGAAGGCGCCTGTGGCAGGGTTCGCATGGCGGCCGCGGGCCATTTCGGCACACCCCTCACGAGGATCGTGGCCCCATAGGGAGCTCCACCGAAGGCCTCCAGTGGCAGGGTTCGCCTGACGGCCTCGGGCCATTTCGGCACACCCCTCACGAGGACCGTGGCCCCACTGGAGCTCCACCGAAGGCGCCTGTGGCAGGGTTCGCATGGCGGCCCCTGGCCATTGCGGCATATCCCTCACGAGGATCGTGGCCCCATAGTTATGCTGTTTCAACAACCGCGCCTGGGCGTCGTACTCCGCCTTGTCGACGTGCAACGCCACCTCTTCCCTCATGGCTCTCAAGGCCCTCTCCTGCTTCTGCTCCTCGGTGAGATGGACGCCGTCCTTGTCGTCGCCGGCGCCCGCGAAGACGGCCACGAAGGTGTCCCTGAGCATGTCGGGCTCCTGCGGGAAGCCGTGGCCACATAGGGGGCGCGGGCGAAGATGGTATTCACAATTGCGGTATTCACAACTGCATATGGTTGGGTTTTTCGCCAGGCTAATTTTTTAACCTCATTGTGCATTGGGCCATTTGGGCTTCCCTCCCTTGGAGGTTTTGGGCCGTCTTGGAGCGATTTGGGTGCATTTTGGGCCGTCCAGGGTGGTCGGCAGTTCGAACAGGCGGTACCACCTAAAATCGTCCGAAAACCTCGACAAAATCAATGAATGTTGTGTTTTCAGGGCCTTTCGAAGTCCTTTTGGAACCTTCCTGGAGCGTCTTGGGCGTTTCTTGGGCCATCTTGGGACCAATGTGGGCCATCTTGGAATACTCTTGGCCTGAGGCCGTGGGGCGCACCACCGTTTTGGCGCTTCCTTGCGGGGGGCCCCCGAGGCCGCGCCCAGGAGTTCCGGCATCTCTGGCCGGACCCTGCCGGAACCTTCCTGGGGTAGTTTTCGCCAGGAAACCCCAAGAGGCCGCCACGCGCGCGCGAATCAGAACCATTACCAGCACGCGTCTGGCCCGCTGGGCTGGCGAATTCTTTTTGTCTTGTTGGTGGGACGCGTCGCCGTGACTGCTAGACTTAGGTCGGGCGTGTGCCCCCACGGGGGGATTTTCGACGAAAAGTTTAAAATACCCAAAAAGTAATCTAAAAATGCACCAAAAATAGTCAGGGGATTATTTTTTGGGTATGTTTCGACATTTTTTGGTGCATTTTGGGGGTATTTTTTGTTTTTCGTCGAAAATCCTTATGTGGGGGGGGACACGCCTGACATAATGCTAGACTTTTTCATATATGATGATGATGTTGTTGATGAGATGATGGTGTCCCGATGATGATAATGTTGACGATGTTTTCATGATGGTGATATGATGATGGTGGCGTTTCGATGTTGATGCTGATGGTGATGGTGTCCCGATGATGATTATGATGAGGGTGACGATGACGGTGTCCCGATGATGATGGTGATGATGAGGATGTTGATGATGATGGTGCTGAGGTGATGATGATGATGGTGCCCCGATGATGATGATGATGATGATGACGTTGATGACGTTGACGACGATGATGTTGATGATGGTGATGGTGATGATGATGACGTTGATTGTGAGATCGATTGTTATACCGATAGTGATATCGATAGTGATACCGCATGTGAGATCGATTGTGAGATCGATAGTGGGATTGATCGTGATATCGATTGTGAGATCGAAAGTCAGATCGATTGTGCAATCGATCGAATGAAATAGATCGAGTGATATCGATTGTGAGATCGATCGGGTGAGATCGATCGAGCGAGACCGGTAGTGATATCGATACTGAGATCGATAGTGAGACCGATCGAGACGTTGGCTCCTCCCCCCCGAACCTCCTTATCACCCGAAGGGTGGTCGTATAGGTATTTATAAAGATTGTGATAAACGTTCCTCGAAAGGGAAGACGGGGGTTGGAAATGGAGCCTCACTAGACCACCAACGCACCGAGGGCTGGTGGGATTGAGTAAAGCCAGCACAGGGGGGGGACTCGACATCTGCATCGGCCCCTCTGCTGACGCCCAGGAAAAGAATCGATTTCAGCAACGGCGACGCGTACGAGGCGCAACCGCTACTTTTCAGCGCTCCAGGTTGCAGCCGCGCGCGCGCACTACAGTTGTAAGCGATGTGCGGTGTAAGTATCCGAGGCCTCATGGCACGCCTTCAGCTTGTCGGGCGCAAGTATATTGAATCGCTTCGCTCATTCCGCCGGCCCGTGATATGGCATCGCTGGTTTTTGTCTGTGTGTTCGTTGCCCATGTTGCGCTCTTGGGGGCGGGTGTCGTTCGGACGCGTTGCGTGGGGAGTTTTGATGGTGAAGCAGTTCCCTGGGGGTCGTCTCTCGATGGGGCGAAATAGAGTCGTCGTCAAGATGCTTCTTTGGGGGGCCTCTTGGGGTCTGTTGAGAGGCCGTTCGGGGGCGCCTGGGAGACATGTTTGAAGCCTTCTGGGGCTTCTTTTGGGCCTCCTGGGAGTCTCCTGGGGCCTCTTGGCGACATCTTGGGGCCTCTTGGAGGCCTCTTGGGGCCTCTTTGGGACCTCCTGGGCGCCTTCTGGGACGGAGGGCTCCATTTTTGAGTTCTCGGTATCCCTCCTGAGTCCCTCTTGGGCCCGTCTTGGGGCCTCTTGGTCCGTCTTGGGCGGCACTTGGGCCGTCTTGAGGGCTCTCTTGGGTCGTTTCGGCGCCGTCTTGGGAGCTTCGTGGGCCGTCTTGGAGCGGTCTTGGGGGCCTCTTGGGCCGTCTTGGAGCGTCCGGAAGCCGAAAAAGCCAGAACACAAAAAACATCGAAAAAACAAATGAAAATCAACGATTTTGGCCTCTTGGGGCTCTCTTCGGAGGCCTCTTGGAAGGCTCTTGGGGCGTCTTGGAGGCCTCTTGGGCTGTCTTGGGGGCCTTTTGGGCCGTCTTGGGGTCATCTTCGGCGTCTTCGAGCGCTCTTTGGGCGTCTCGGGGGCCTCTTGGGCAGTCTTGGGGGCCTCTTGGGGCACTCTGAGCGCGCTCTGGGGAGCCTGAGAGGCCGCACCCAGAAGGAAAACCATCTCTGAGTAGACTTGGTCGGGCGGCGACCGGGCGTTGGTCGGGGTACTTTTCGCCGGGGGACCCCCAGGGGCCGCCCCGCGCGCGCGAACTAGAAATACTGTTAATACTGTTAACCAGTTACCGGAGATCTTAGCACGCCCTGGCCCGTTGGGCCGGCGAATTTCGGGCAGGTCTGTCTACGAAGTGCCGTGGACACGGCACGTTCCGGCCGCGTTGGCTTGACGGCGGGCGGCTTCACCGCGTTTGTTCAAGGTTGAGAGCGACCAGTTGCCTGAAATCAGTTTTGTCGAACAATCGGCCTTATCTGAAAGTGGCGATCATTCAAGGTTGAGCGATTCACGAAGTGCCGAAACCCTTGCCCACGTCATCGCGACATGAACCTGACGCACAAGTTTGTGCATGAGGGCACTTGCTTGCGCATTGGTTTGCCTGTGTACCTAGGTGCCTGCGGCAAATCCGCCACCGTGCCAGCGAAGCACTCTGTCTGGCGACCCTTCGAGCATCTCCTAGAGAACGTCACAGGTGACACCTGTCGTCTCCATGTGTCGAGGAGCTCTCATGGACAGCATTTGGACCGTCGTCGGGCTGTCTGGGGCTCCCGTGTGGCAGTCTTGGGGGTCCCTTAAGGCCGTCGTGGGCCGTTGTGGGGCTCCCTTGGTCATCTGGGAGGTCTCTTGGGGGCTGTCGTGAGGCCGTCTTGGCATCTCCTTGGGCCGTCAAGGGCCCCTCTTAGGCCATCTTGGGTCCTTCTGGAGGCCCTCTTGGGCCATCTTGGGTCTCTCTTGGGTCCTGGCTGAACCAAGTAGTAGCGGCCTTCTGGGGGCTCCTAGTGGGTCCTTTGGGGCCCTCGAAAACTTATCTTCGACCGAGGACCGTCGGACACGAAAGACATTGAAACAACCCAATTGACATCCATGTGCTGGCCTCTGGAGGTTCTTTTCCAGCGTTTTGATCCTCTTGGAGGCGTCTTTGAACCTATTTGGCGCGCCTTATGTGATTGAGGTGCCTCTTGAAGCCATGCCATGCCATCTTGGCGGCCTAGTTACCTTCCTCGGCCGTCTCGGAAGCCTTGGAGAGTTTAGGAACGCCCCGGGGAGCGTCGGGCTGGCTGTGTAGCCTCTGGAGGAATGGCTGGCGCATGTAGCAGCAAAGAGTGATAAAATGCTGGGCCCTCGAATACTAGAGAACCTTACCAGACAGGACTTGGCATTCTACCATGCCTCAACGTGCCAGGGGGCACAGTGGCGGAATTCACAGCCTGTGGCTTCCGTTGCATTCCTCCGATTGGCTCCTTGGCTCAAACACATTCACTCCGACGGTCCATCACTTTTAGGCCGGAGGTAAAAAGTCAACAAGCTGGAGGTCAAGCGAAAAGGCCTCCCAGCTAGACAAGCACGCTGAGAGTAAACCAGGGTCACTTTGGCACAAACCTTGAAATCAGTGCGTCTCATGCTCCTGCTTACGCAGCCTCCGCCTGCAGTTCCGAGGGAAATCTGCGGAGCAGAGGGTCCGCCGTGAGCTGATCACGTGCAGGCCCACTTCTTCCAGTGTCGGCGGTGCACCCCATCCGCAGGGGGCGCGTCGCCGACGCAGGAAGCGCAGCAGCACCACGCCACGGCCAGAGGCGTGCCGTGCCCCTGCTTCTGCGGGCCCTGCCTGGCGTATCCAGCCACGCGCGCCGCGCACGAGCCTCACCGTGCTCCCTGCCCTCTTCGTTCTCGCGCTCCTCGCCTCGCCGTCGTCGGCGAGGGCAGCGGCGCCGCGGTCGACGTCGTCGTCGTCGACGACGTGGTCCTCGTCGTCGTCGTGGTCGTGGTCTTGGCTGGCTCAAGGCCTTGGCATCGCTCGGACGTGTGCATTTTTTTCTCGGCGAGGACCATCGAGGAGCATCCTTGATCATTTGGCGAAAAAACCACGCACGAAACCGAAAAAACACAGGGAATGGACGTCCGAGCGATGGCGAGAGGCAGCGCCGCCCAATCTGCCAGTGTAGGCGTCAGTGACTGCGCTCCAGTGGGGGTGGCGGTTGGAGACACGTGCGCCCTGTTCTCTCAGGAGGGGAAGAAACACACAGTGTCAGAGATACGGGGATTTAGCAGGCGTGTGTGTGTAGTATCTGTTCTTATCTTGATTTCTACAGCAGCGCACGCGTACACAGGGCGCCCTTTAGGATCAATGGTATTAAAGCATCCTTATCATCGATCCCCGCCCGCCTGGGCGGACTCTCATGGTAAGCGGAGCGTGACAGCTCCGGGACCTGCGCATCATAGGCCGCTGGGCTGGGCCGCCGCGCCCGGGTGCCCCGCGGCAGGCGGCGGCCGCTGCCGCTGCCAGAGGTCGCCGCACCTCCTCTCCGCCGCCGCGGTCACCACCGCGGCAGTCGTGGCAGCCCACGACGACGAGCCCTCCGCCGAGCCGGCCGAGGGCACCATCTTGTGCAACGACGCTGCTGCTGCTGATCATTCCTATCTTCACGAAGATGTCCATCGACCTGGACAGGAACGGCGTCCCTCAGTATGCAGGCCAGCCAGAGTATTTCAATGAATACGAAGAGCGAGCCTGGGATCTCTACCGCGGCAGGACGGGCGAGAAGTCCAAGCAGGCCGCGACAGCGCTGCATCTACGCTCAGGCCTTTCTGGTCCAGCATACGAGGCAGTGCGCAAGCTCAAGCATGACGAACTGATAGCTACTGACGAGTATGGCGAATCAAAGCCGGACGGGCTCATTCTTTTTCTCACGACGCTGAAGAAAGAAGTTCAAGACATTGCGCCCGTCCGGAGCACTGAGATCTTCGACAAAGCCTTGTACGGCTTTCGGTCTGGCGCGACCGCAACGAGTCCATGGCTAACTATGTGACAAGGAGGCGAAAAGAGTTCGCAGAGTTGCAGGAGGTCAGCGCCACGACTACGATCTCAGAGGATATCCAGGCCGCACTGATCCTCAGGTTCTGCGGCATCAGCATGAAGGAGCAGGCCGCAGTCCTCGCCTCCAACAAGAACGAGTACAAGCTAGCTGGCATCAAGTATGCTCTGCGGGCACAGTACCCAGCGGTACATCGACAGCAGGACCGACGCGCTGATCGCCGAGAGCGATCCGCCTACGCCTACGCCGCGTCGGACCAGGACGAGAACCTGTCGGAGCTCGATCACGTCTACTACGAGGACGAGGACGAGGACGGCTACTACCAGGGCGAGGAGGAGGACTACGAGCACGGCGAGGACGACCGGTTCGACATCGAGAACTACGTCGCGGAGAACCTCGACGAGCTTGGCACCGAGGAGGCAGAGGCCCTCGCCCTCGTTTTGCAGAGCCGCAACAAGATCTTCAACAAGAAGAAGCCGCCTAGGCGAGTGACTTCGAGCTTCCACGGTCGTGGCAAGACCGGTGGAAAGGGAGGCCGCCGTGGAGGCGGCAAGGGATTGCCAACCAGGTCGCCCGCAGGGCGAGGAGGCAGCAGTTCGAGTAGTGCTGTCCCTGGCTACGACGACCGACAACGAGATGCTCGCCGACAGCACATCGCCAACCTGAAGAAGCGGACCCAGTGCTCCGACTGTCACCAGTTCGGGCACTGGCAGGGCGATGATGTTTGCCCTCGTCGGTCGAGCCGGAAGCCTACATCGGTGTCTCCAGCTATGAAGCCCGCTCAGAACTACTTCACGCTCGAGGAGCACGGGGACAACGACGACGACAGCGAGCCGTCCGAGGTCTTCATGGTTCTCAAGGGCGAGATGGAGCACGTCTGCGAGCACGTGGCCGACGACGCCTGCGAGAAGGTCGTCCGCGGCGCCAACAAGACCACCAGGTACATCACATGCAGGGAGGGCGACCGCCACTTCACGCTCGCCCACCGCAACAAAGGGTTTGAGCTGTGGAGCTACTTCACGAAGGCCCTGATGGGCACGAAGTGGGGCCGCTTCCTGTCCCGCAAGGAGTTCGCGAGACGGATTGCCCTGGTGGCCGACACCCTGATGGTTCAGGGTCGCCTCCCATCTACGTATCGGAGGCGGACGGCGGCGCCCGCGGCGCGACGCCTTTCCGGCAAGCAGCGACTATTCGGCCGGCTGCCTGCAAGAGGCGATGGACCACGTGCACCTACACCAGCGGCCACGTCTGCGGCCAGTTCTACGAGGCCGAGTGCTGCTGGATCAGCACCGGCCGCACCACCTACACCCGAGAAGCGCATCATCAAGGTCGACCTGACCCAAGGCGACCCCGAGCCGAAGTCGGGACCGGAGCTGGCCTTCCTGTACGGCATCCCGCTCCACCACAGCATCGAGCTGGTGGAGTTCCCGGATCTCGATGGCGTCGACCAGCTCAACCCGGTCCCGTACCCAGCGGAGGTCATCAACTTCGGCACGCACAAGGGGCGAACCTTCCAGGATGCGGCGTCCGACCCAGCACTCATCTGGTACAACAAGTGGGCTCTGGGCCAGGTCTTGGGCCCCGAGGCGGAGGAGATCAAACTCCACTTGTACCGCTACGCGTACTTCCTCTACGCCATTGTGAAGATCGCGCGTGGCAAGTTCAACGTTGCCCCGCAGCAGATGATCGACGGCGACAAGAGGAGGCTCCCCGCCGACAACGACTGGATGGAGGTCAACGCCGGCGGCTTCACCATCCCGATTCAGCCCAACATCCATCAGCCGGACGTCATCTCTACCTACGAGTGCTCGGTCATGGCCGCCACTACCTGCAATGCCTTCTCGGCGCACGACAACGACGCCGACGCCATGCTCGCCATCATCGACACTGGGTGCACGCGCACCATGCACGGCGAGTCGTGGCGGGCAGCCTTCGAGCGCAAGCTCGCGAGGCGCGGTCTACAGGTAGTGAAGACCCCGGCCTCTCGTACATTCAGAGGGATCGGCGGCCGCACGAGGAGCACCACGGCGGTCCGTTTTCCCGTGGGCATTGGAGGAAAGTGTGGCGAGATTCTGTCGTGTGAGGTGCCGGGCGACTGCCCGATGCTGCTCAGCAGGGACATGCTCACCAAGCTTGGGCTGAGCATGCGGCTTTCCACCGAGGGCGATGTCGCCGACTTTGTCAACATCGGCGTCTACAACCTGAAGCTCCACCACACTAAGGTGGGTCACCCGGCGGTCAACCTCCTTGACCTGCCGAACGGGAGCTACGAGACGGCCGATTGGGCGGCGCTGACGATGCCCGAGGAGCACCACCTCGAGTACTTCCCCGAGAAGTTCCACGTCGGCATCACCTACGTCGAGGAGAGCTCGGTTAAGCCTCTCCCCAGCTTCCTGGACATCGAGATCGGCGAGACTACGGACGACGAGTGCCTCCAGACGGTCGTCGACCACGACTACGGACCGGACGTCTTCGCCGCCGAGGCAATCGCGTGGGGCGGCAAGCGCAACCTCACCAACAAGAAGTCCAAGAAGCTCGAGCACTCCCTGCAGGCCATCGCCGTGCAGGATGAGGTGGTGCAGGCCGTCGTGGAGAAGCATCCGCCCAGGGCCCGGCTGCCTGCCGGCGCCAGAACATGGGTCAAGCAGACCTACGCTGGCCAGATGGGTTTGACGGTGCTCATGGCCGCGATGGGCCTCTCGGTCGGCGTCCCACTGGACAAGCGCACGGGCTGGGACGCTACCACCAGGCTGGGCAGGCAGAGGTTCGACGCGGAGATCACCAACGAGGAGCCGTACTGCCTCGTGGTCTCGCACCCCTGCTCGCCGCGGGGCAACTGGAGCAGATTCAACATGGCCCGTTGCCCGGAGACCGAGAGGAAGATCTTGGCCAAGCGCGAGGCGAACCGCCCCACTCTCAGGCAGGTGGACTCCTCAGTGGACAGCCGAGTGCGGAGGGGCTTCCACGTGGCGCTGGAGCACCCCCAGGGCTCCGAGGCCTTCGACCAGCCGGAGATGTCAAGGATTCGTTCTCTCCTGGACAAGGGCATCCTGAAGAAGGTCACCTTCGACGGCTGCCAGGTTGGGTACCGCGATGCTGAGTCAGGCTTGGCTCACCGCAAGCCCATGATGTTACCACTATGGACACGCTGGTCGAGGCCCTTTCCGACAAGAAGTGTAGCTGCACCCAGCACGAGCAGCTCAAGGGCCGCAACAAGTTCGGGCCGCGCACCCTGCAAGCGGCCGAGTGGCCGGAGGAGCTCAACCACATCGTCGCCCGCAGCATCGTACAGCAGGCCATCGTCGACAACGCCACGGACACCGACTGGCAGTTCCCTGCAGAGGACGGTCCAGACCTTCGTGGGCCAGTTCGACTACGACGACGGACCAGGCTGCGGGGGCACCCGTACCGGGCAGCCATGGCGCAGCCAGCGCCACCGCCTGACCCGAACGTGCTTGAGCCTGCTCCTCCTCCAGCTGACCATGAAGCTGTGGGAGAGCCACCACCTCCGCCAGCCGTCGATCCCGACGGCGAGCGAGCCCGAGAGGCCGCCCAGCTCGGCCCCATCACCAACACTAAGGAGGCCGAGCGGCGCAGGCGATGGCTGGAGGCCCCGCCAGAGGTCAGGAAGGCCATCCGCCAGCTCCACGTCAACTTCCACCACTGTTCGAGTGACGCTGACCAGGCTGCTGAGGCGCCGAGGAGTCAAGCCGGAGGTGCTGAAGTACGTGGAGTTCTTTTCCTGCGACGCCTGTGGCGACGCCATCCGTCGGAGCGCCCCACGACCTTCGCGGTTGCCAGGTCAGTACGTGTTCAACTACGCCATCCAGCTGGACACCTTCCACGCCTACGACGCCGCCAGGACCCCCTATTTCTTTATGAACTGTATCTGCGAGGGGACGAACTTTCAAGTCGTGTACTGCATGGGCCTGGCTCGTGGATCACCGACAGCGCGTGCCACTACCAAGGCGTTCACTACCAGCTGGACCTCGTGGGCTGGCTACCCAGAGAAGCTCACGGTGGACCTAGGGAAGGAGTGGATGAAGGGTTTCGCCTCCAACGCGAAGGCGCACGGCGTGCAGGTCGACCTGGCCCCGTTAGAGACGCCGCACCTCATCGGCAAGTGCGAGCGCCGCGGCGGCATTTGGAAGGAGATCTGGCGACGTACTGTCGCCGACTCGCAGGTCACAGGACTGGGCGACGTCGAGGAGACTGCCCCCATCGTGACCCAGGTCAAGAACGAGCTGGGCCGACGCGGGGGGTTCTCCCCTTCGCAGTGGGTCTTGGGGTCGCATGGGCCCCGCGCCCCAGGAAGCCTCCTACAAGACGACGAGGCGCAGCGGCTGGAGGTCATCGATGCGTCGCTCGACCCCCAGTCTGCCATGGCCCGCGCCATGGCCCTGCGCGAGGCGGCCCGCATCGCGCACGTCCGCCTCGACTCCGACGACCGCGTCAAGCGCGCCATCCTGCGCAAGGCGCGGCCTAGCCGAGGCCCTTTCAACATTGGGGCCATCGTGTACTTCCGCCGGTCGCAAACCCGAGTCGGCGAGAGTCCCGAGGTCACGCACTGCTGGTTTGGGCCGGCCCGGGTTATCGGGCATGAGGTGCGCGACCCTCGCCATCTCTCTCGCGACACTGACGAGCCCGTCGGCACGCTGGTCCATGCAGTGTGGCTGCGCCATGGGCACACCACCATGTTCGCAGCTCCTGAGTCGCTCAGGTTCGCCTCCGAGGACGAGCTGCTCGCCATGCACACCTACGTGAACCCAGACCTGTTGTCCCTTCGGTCACTGAAGGGAGCCAGGCGCTACATCGACATCCGAGCCGACACAGCAGCAGCCTCGCCCGCCCCGATGCCCGGGCCGCAACAGCACGCGGCTGGTCACGGAGGGGTGGTTGGGGGCGCGCTCGGATCTGCCGGACCAGGACCTGATGTAAATTTCGACTTCGACGAGTTCAACACCGAGGACCATCTACAACAGCAGCGGGTCGATCCTCCACCGCCAGCACACGAAGTACCACAACAAGCATCTCCAATCATTCAGGAGACCGACGACGCACTACTACCACCACCAGCTCAGCATCAGCCTCCTCCTGTGGTTCCTGAGCCACCACGCCTGGGGCTACCAGAGGCAGAGGGGCCGCCACGCTCGCACGGCCCAGGCGAGCCCAGCATTCATTCCGAAGTTCAAGGTCATCGGATCGATCCTCGAGTATCCCAGGAGGCTATCGACAAGCCGGCGCCCCCGGATGACGAGGCTGTCGACAAGCCGGTGCCGGACGACGAGATGGGCGTGGGCCTGGGGCGCGGGGAGAAGCGCAGAGGCCTGTCGCTTGCCCAGCTGGACAGAGCCATGCGCGATCCGGAGCGTCTGGATCGGGGTTCTATCAAGAAGCCTCGTACCTTCCAGGGCTACGTGGAGGAGGAGTTCCGCGTCATGGAGGATGCCCTCCACGAGGTGTTCTTCACCAGCGACTACAAGCCGGACCTGGCTGTCGCCTACGAGTGGCGTCGCACCGACTACGGCATCAAGAAGTTCATCACCACGGACAAGCGTGGCCCTCGCTGGTCCATGGTGCTTCGCCGCATCACCAGAGACATCAAGACAGGCATCGTGATAGATGACATCGACGTCAGAGGCCTTGCTCTTCGCGATGCTCGCCTTCGTCGGCCTCTGCCTGGTGGCATCACCGCGGTCGAGACCATCTTCGTTCACACCGACGAGGACGTGGGCACGAACGACACCGTCGAGTTCGCCTATCTCACCAAGGGTGCGGTCCGCTCCGAGATCAGACTTCAAGATCTCGCCCCAGAGCAGAGGAAGGAGTTCGACCAAGCTATGGAGTGGCGCAGCTCTGGACTGAGTTCCAGGCCGTCGAGGTGCTGAGCTTTAGCCAGGCCAAGGAGCTCCTCGACAGGGGTGCCTCCCCAGTTGGGACGCGCTGGGTCCACACGGACAAGAACGCTAAGAAGCGCAACCCCAAGCAGACCTACGACGACATCCCGCTCGCTGCCAAGAGTCGGCTCGTCGCGCAGGGCTGCCAGGAACGAGGAGATCACATCCGAGGCGACGCTCCTACTGCTAGCCTTTTGGCTTTCCACCTGGTCGCCAGCTGCGCTGCCTCCCACCGGTGGCAGGCAAGGGCAGCTGACGCTGCGACGGCCTACCTGCAGTCCAAGGGCATTGAGCGCATCCTGTTTCTTCGAGCCCCTCGTCCTCCACCACCTGGAATTCCGGAGGGGCCCTACATGCGCGCCCGCGGCGCGATCTACGGCACCAAGGACGCGGGCAGGCAGTGGTGGCTGCATCTGCGCGCCATCCTCGTGGAGCAGGGTTGGCGCGAGTCCATTTACGAGCCCTGTCTGTTCATGCTCAGGGACAGCAAGGGCAAGCTCAACGGCTTGCTGTGCACGCACGTCGACGACCTCTTCGTCACGGGCGCGGGCGAGCAGTTCGAGCGCGCGATGGAGATCATTAAGGACAAGATTCGCCTTTCCTTCCAGTCCGACACGTTCAGGTACTGCGGCAAGGTTGTGGAGCAGGACAACGAGACTTTCGACATCAAGATCGGACAGGCCGCCACGGTCGAGGCGCTGGAGTACATCACCCTCGAGCCACACCGCCGGCGCAAGCCCAATGCGCCACTCGCCCCGGATGAGATCTCTGCCCTTCGTAGCGGCGTTCGGTCGCTTGGCTGGGTAGCACGGCAGACGCGCCCCGACTTGGCCGTCCACGCTTCACTTGGGGCTCAGGCCATGAGTGGCCCCAAGATCCGTGACATTGTTGCAGTGAATCGTGCCATCAAGATGGCCAAGGACGACGTCGACTTCAAGTTGGTGTTTCCATCCCGCCTTGACTGAAACAGCGCCATCGTGTTCGGCTGCGGGGACAGCAGCCACGGCAACATCGACGGCCTGACGCTAGGAGAGAAGGTCAAGTCGCAGTGCGGCTATTTCATCGGCATGGCGTCGCCCGACCTCGAGACGGACGCCACCGCGATCATACATCCACTGGAATGGGCTAGCGCGACGATCAAGCGAGTGGTTCGTGGATCGCTAGCGGCTGAATGCAACGGTTTCTTGACGACGGCCGAGAGTGCGGAGTTCCTCAAGCACGTGATCGCTGAGATCTCCGACCCAGGCTACTCTTCCTACCAGTTCGACCCGTCTTTCGATGGCAAGCATCTGCTACTGCTGACAGACGCGAATGGCCTTGTCACCTCCCTGGAGAAGGATGGTGGTCAGCCAGCTGACAAGAGGGCGCGGATCCTGATGGCCCAGATCCGACAGCTACTCGGCCATGGCGCGCTGAAGCAAGAGCGAGAAAGTGACGACTGGAGGATACGAGTTAGATGGATCGACACGAAGTTGATGATCGCGGACGCTCTGACAAAGGCCGAGGCTGAGAGGAGTTTCCTGCTAGGGCGGCTGTCTGAGGGCCGCTGGTGTTTAGCGCAGACGAAGGAGATGCTCGCTGCTAAGGCAGCGGCAGGCGAGGCGCGCCGAGCCCGCAAGGCCCGGCCTGGCGATGCGGAGGGGTAGTCCTCCGATTTTCGTTTCCCTCCTTCTCCTCCTCTGTCTCCTGTCCCACGTACCGTTTGGTTTTGCATCCATATCGTTTACGCCCTGTGTTTTTACAGTTCCATATTTGCACGCCTGTCTAGGCACCGCTCTGCCGATGTTTTGAGATTTTCCCTCTTGAAGGGCAGTGGATTTCATTATACCATTTGTTTTCTTATCTGTCTAATGAAGCTTAGCCCCCGCATTGTTTTTGGGGCCAGGACAAAGGTCCGCCATTTTTTGTCTCCGACCCCCCCGTCTTCCCAGGATTGTGCCCGACGAGGACAGGCCTCGATGGTCACGGAGGGGTGTCAGAGATACGGGGATTTTGCAGGCGTGCGCGTGTAGTATCTGTTCTTATCTTGATTTCTACAGCAGCGCACGCGTACACAGGGCGCCCTTTTAGGATCAAGGGTATTAAAGCATCCTTATCATCGATCCCCGCCTGCCTGGGCGGACTCTCACACAGACGCAATTAATCGTCCACTCCCTGGAAAATATGGGAAACTATCCCGGCAAAGCAACCTAACAGCGATGTGTAGAAGCATAGCTGGAAACATTGCCTGCGGTATTCATGTAAGGGTGCTGTTGTAGAATTCTGGTGTTCTCGCAGTCGCATTTGGATTCGCAGCGGCAGTCGCAGTGGCAACATCAGCGGCAGTCGCAGTGGCACTGCCAGTCGCCAAGAAGGCTACGGGGACGATGATGATGATGAAGATGATGAGTCTTGGAAGTCTGGGAAGTGGAAGAGCACGAAGTGCTTCGCGTGCTCGACGAGCGTTTGCAGAGGACCGCTCAATGCAGCACGCTGAGGAGCAGCGCTGTTCCCTGCCGCAGGCTGAGGAGCACCGCTGTTCAATGCAGCAGGGTCAGGAGCACCGCCGCCAGACCGAGAACTATCAGCATGTCCTGGCATTAAGGTGCGCAATAGGCGCTGCGCAGTTCCTTTGAAAGGAAATCTTCGAAAGCAGGGCTGTAGCCAAGAAGGCTACGGGGACGAGGATGATGATGAAGATGATGAGTCTTGGAAGTCTGGGAAGTGCAAGAGCACGAAGTGGCGTACAGTTGGTTCCGGGCATTCAAAATGTGGCCCGGGAGTGGAGTTCTGGGAAGTGGAAGAGCACGAAGTGGCCTACAGTTGGCTCCGGGCTTTCAAAATGTGGCCCGGGAATGGAGTTTTGGGAAGTCGAAGAGCACGAAGTGGCCTACAGTTGGCTCCGGGCATCCAAAATGTGGCCCGGGAATGGAGTTCTGGGAAGTGGAAGAGCACGAAGTGGGCTACAGTTGGTTCCGGGCATGCAAAATGTGGCCCGGGAGTGGAGTTCTGGGAAGTCGAAGAGCACGAAGTGGCCTACAGTTGGCCCCGGGCATTGAAAATGTTGCCCAGGAATGGAGTTTTGGGAGGTCGAAGAGCACGAAGTGTGTGACGGTTTATTAAAAACAAGCCTGGCCCTCGCCTGTCCGGCTCCCGCCCAGACCCCCTTGGGGAGTCATCAGATGCTCTCTTTTGACCCCATTAGAAACCTATCAGTCTTCGTCGTTAGGTAAATATGGGAAGTGGGGGGGAAGACGAAAATTCCAAAACATTGGAAAATGTTGGGAATACTTTTATTTGTGTGTGTGTGTGTTAATTTGTGTGTCCCTGGGCCCCTTCATTCTCTCCCATCACCATCCTTTTTCGCCCATCATCTACCCAAAGAGTTTCCCCATGGCCTGGAGCACCTCATCCAAACTTGATATAGCAGTTTGCCAGGAGTCGGTTCCAGTGTGTTGTGCTTGAGCAGCTTGGTCCTCAGTGTGTGGGCAACCTGGCACGAGGCCACACTACTTCACCCTAGTGCCAAATACATAAGCGTGAGTTGGAGCCGCAGAACATTGGTTTACGAGGATCCATCAGGTGTGGTTGAGGCACGTCGTTCGATATCATTCTCACATGCAGCAACTCCTGGAATCCAACTCAAGACAAGTAGACAACACCAAGAGGGTCTCTTGGGAACCCTGTCGGCACCACTCGTGGCATAAGCACGGCGCAGACTCGCGGCTTCCAACGGTCGTACAAAAACAGTTTCAGCGGGAATCCAACAGGAATGCATATCATTAGTATACACGAATCAAAAAAAAAGGAACCTAAAGCGGTCGCAGTAGGAACCTGGCCGCTTGGGATTCTAGTGTATCCCATAGGCTCTCACTTGGAGCCCAACGGTATCCAGTGGGCGACTAATCTATTTTAGTTGGTTGCAATTGGATTCCAGGAGCCCAGAAGGGAATTCATTGTTATTCGGTACCAAGAGGGACCAATAAGGAAGCCAGGCTTCTTTGGCAAAGGAACTCCCATGACAATAGAACGTGTTATTCCAAGTGGTTTCCGCCAGGATACTGACAGGTATCCAACAGGAATGGACTCGAAATGATCCGATTTGACGCCCTCAGGATCCCAATCGGAACCAGATCGAGAGGAATCTCGATTCCGTTAGAGAGATATGCTATGGAATTCCGCTAGGATCGCTAATCTTTTCAGAAACTCGTGTTGATTTGAATTGGAAGGTCATGAATTCAATTCCACGGGGACCACTGCAATGAATATGACAGTATATAGAGCCCCAGGAGGGCTCAATCCCTTGCAAGAAGTGTTCCCAGACTTCAAGACCCGCATGGGCATTCTGAGCTCAAGTCGTTCTCTTGCTTTTGACATGTATTTCGGGTGGACGCCAGGGATTGAAGCCTTCTGCTGGGCTTAGACCCTGGTTCCAGGATTGAGCCCTCCTGCTGGGGATTGAACGCTTCTGCCAGGGGTTGAGCTCATCGCGGCTCGTTGGGTTTGGGGGGAAAAACCCCCAAGTTCTGCAAACACCCTCTTTGAGCACAGTTATACAGATTTCCAACCGTTCCGAAACTTCCTTGACTCCCGTGACCACTCCACAAACCCCCTTTCGGACATACTCTTTGGGGGGCTCTGGAGAGATTTCCCATACACAACTCCTTTGGAGGAGGTTTTGGGGGGCTGTCCGGGGGAACCCTTCCTAAACCCCAAGAGTTTCCCTCGAGGGGATTTGTTCTGGGGTGCTCCGGGGGACCCTCCCCATTTTTGGGAGGGGTGCATGGGGGGATCCGGGAAGAGAGCCGTTCAAACCAAAACCTTTTTTGACATTTCTTTTCGGAGGGCTCCAAGAGAAAGACTTCCCCATCACAATCCAAAAACCTTGAGGAGGGGTTTGGGGGAGTTGGGGGGAACCCCCTACCCCGTCCAAAAAATCCCCCTCAAGCGGAATTTTGCTTTTTGTGTCACAGGGGGGTTCTTAGAATTTTGTTTTCTACGCCTAGCAAGGGAACCCAACAAGAAAACCTCTATATTATTTTTTGGGGTAGGTGTGGGGGTGGAGGGGCGGGTGGGGGGTGAGGTTCTTGTTCCCCCGTAAATGGGAGAGGGGGTCCAACTTAGTTTTTTTGAACGCGCGGAGGCCGTGCCTTCCGAAAAACCCGCTTAACCTCCCAGCTCCGCCCCCACCCTTCCAAAACCCTTCCCTTCAAGGGGAGTTCGTTTTTTTTCCGGGGGGGGCCAGAAATTTTCACCCTGGTCTCCCCAGAGGCCGAACTCGAGGAAAAACGCCCGTATTGAACAAGTCACACCGTCGGAGGTCGAGGCTCGCCGCCGCCGCCGCCGTCGTCGTCGCCGCCTCCGTCGTCGTCGTTGTCGTCTGACGCGCGCGGGCCAGCGCGCGCTGGGTCTCCGCGGCCGGCAAGGGCGGCATGTCGTCCAGCGGGGACGGCAGCGGCGACAGACGTCACGGCCACGGCACCTACAGCTATGCGGCCGCGCCGCCTCCCCCCACCCCCATGCATGTGCCTGGCATCGCTTGGACGTGTGCATTTTTTCTCGGCGAGAACCATCGAGGACCATCCTCGACCAACGAGCAAAAAAAGAACACGCACGATACCGAAACAAACACGGGAAATGGGCATCCGAGCGACGGCGAGTGTGGAAGCGGGGCCACAGGCGGCGGAGGAGGAAGATGTCCCAACACTGCTGCCTTTGGATAGCAAGTGCTGGAAACTCCCGCTAGTCTTGGATGGAGTGCATACCGGCGAGAAGCGCCCGATATCTGCCTAATAGCGCCAAATAGCGACCAACAGTGCCCAGTAGCGCCGCATAACGTTGATATGGCGCCCAGAAGCGACCAATAGCGCCCAATAGCGCCATGTGAGGAGGATGCGTTATGTCCACTTTGCGCGCGATTGGACGCGCTATTGGGCGCCATGGGGACGACCGAAAATTGCCGCGAGTTGCTTTCTAATGACCTTTCCATTAGTTTTCGCCTTGTTGGACTTCTTGGGAAGCCCTCGTCGTAATGGCTTGGCTTGCCTCGAAGTTCTGGTCTGAACGCGCCCCAGGAGAGGTCCGTGAAGTGGCGGTGTGAGTACGTTTTTGCCCCCCAGAGTCGGCAGAGAAGCGGCGGAGGAGGAAGGGCGGGACGGGGCGGAGGAGGACGAGGGGAATAGGAGAACAAAAAGTGACATAAACATAAAACTCGGAGGTCAACGTAGAGGGGGGGGTAGGCTCAGGGGAGCATGCATCCTGCTCCCAAATCGCCGGTTGATTTCCGGAACGGGCTTGATGGCCCGCCCCGCCAAGGAGAGCGTGCGGTTTCGCCATCGGGGGATAATCGCCGATCTATCGTCGATGTATCGCCGACTCCATGTTGATGTTTCCCCCCCGAGCTCGCCTCCCCCCTAAGGCCCTAGCGCTCCCCCTCACGAGGGAGTAGGGGGGGCGGGGGACGAGGCGGAGGACGACGAGGGGAAGGAACGGAGGAGGATGCGGAGGAGGAAAGGGACCAGGGTAAGGCCAGGATGCGTCAACGGTGCTGCAGTATACCGCTTCGTGCCAAGCCTCCCCTCGTGAGTCCCCACGAGCTTCCCTTTTCAATACCAACCTTGGGCTCTCCCCATGTTCTCTCTGATCCTCCCGGGCTCTGCCCCCCGATGCCTTCTCCGACTCCCCCGTGGACTCGCGGATCTCCCCTCGCGGGCCCCCTCTGCCCCCCCCCCCCCTTCCCTCCCAGATTCAGGAGGGAAAAAACACACAGACACAATTAATCGTCGACTCCCAGGAAAATATGGGAAAATATGGGAAGTGGGGGGGAAGACAGAAACCCAGAAAATATATGAAAATATAGGGGATATGTTCATCTGTGTGTACTTATTTGTGTGCCCCAGGGCCCCTTCACAGGTGTTCTCCCTGGCGCCCGTGCGCCCGTGCAGCCCTTCTCGTGGTGCCAACTCCTCGCCCCCACCCCGCTGCGCAGCCCGACCCCCCTTTCCCTCCCGCCGCCGCCCGCTGCTGCGAGCGTGGCCGCCGCGGGCCCTCGCCCCCCTGACGCGGACGTCCGCTGCCGCGGCGGCGCCGTGGTCTCGTCGGGGGCGGAAGAGAGGGGGGTGATGCCTAGGGGGGGGTGGATATCATGGCGCGGGCCATGATATCTCCGAAGATTTCACGGCGCCTCCTCTTGTTTCATTGCGTCCCAGGCCCCCCCGCTGGGCCGCGCACATGCCGCCGGTCATGATTTGCACCCCCTCCTCTTGGACACCCCCCTTTTGGCCGCTCCCGAGGTCTTGGCATCGCGCGGACGTGTGCATTTTTTCTCGGCGAGAGCCATCGAGGACCATCCTGGACCATCGAGCAAAATCAGCCTGACGAAGGACCCAACCATATGCAGGTGTGGGTACCGCAATTGTGATTCACGTTTTCGGTGGAGATCCCTATGAGGCAACGAACCGTGCTAGGGGTGTGCCGAAATGAGTGGCGTGGTACACAACGCGAGCGAAAACGAACAACACAATGCGGACTGCGCCACGGGGACCTTCGGTGGGGCTCCATATGGGGCCACGAAACGCTGTACTGGGTGAGGGAGACGCATGCGGACTGCGCCACGGGGACCTTCGGTGGAGTTCCCTTATGGGGCCACGAAACGTGTGAGGGGTGTGCCGAAATGATTGGCGGGGACGCATGCGGACTGTGCCACTGGGGCCTTCGGCGGAGCTCCTATGGGGCCACGAAGCGTGTGAGGGGTGTACCGGAATGAGTGGCGGGGACGCATGCGAACTGTGCCACTGGGACTTTCGGCGGAGGCTATTTCTTTTATTCTGGTTTTTTAACATTTGCTTGATTTTTTATTTTCTTTCCTATTCTTTTGTTGTGTATTTCTGCTTTTTTTTTTTGTTTCTTTTTTTTTTTTTTTTTATTTTTTTTTCTTTTTCTTCCTTTTTTTTTTTTTCTTTCTTTTTTTGTTCCCTCTATTTTTTTTCCTTTTTTTTTTTTTTCCTAGGGTAGACAGGAGGAGTTGATACGACGGACGGGGAGAAAGGGTGATGATGCTGATGCTGAAGATGATATTGATGATGCTGGTGGTGCTGATGATGATGCTGATGATACGGTTGCTGACCCTGGTGAATATGATGGTGGTGGCGATGTTGATGATGATAACGATGATGATGATGATGATGATGATGATGATGATGATGATGATGATGATGATGATGATAATGATAATGATGATGATGGTGATGGTGATGGTGATGGTGATGAGGATGATGAGGATGATGATGATGATGATGATGATGATGATGATGATGATGCCGATGATGATGGTGATGGTGATGGTGATGATGATACTGGTGGTGGTGATGATCATGCTGATGTTGATGAATATGATGACTATGATGATGTAGGTGCTGATGGTGCTGATGATGATGACGAGGAGGAGGAGGAGGAGGCGGAGGAGGAGGCGGAGAAGAGGGAGGAAGGGGGAAAATGAGGAGGAGGACGAGGAGGAAGGAGGAGGAGGGGAGGGAGGAGGAGGGGGAGGGGGAGGAAGATGAGGCGGGGGGGATGGAAGGGGCGGAAGAGGAGCAGCGATACGGGCATAGGTGCGTGGGGTGGGAGGGGGGGGGAGGAGGAGGCGGGGTGGTTAGTGAGGGGGAGGAGGGGAGGAGGAGGAGGAGGAGGAGGAGGAGGAGGAGGAGGAGGAGGAGAGGAGGAGGAGGAGGAGGAGGAGGAGGAGGAGGAGGCGGAGGCGGAGGGGGAGGCGAGGAGGCGGAGGAGGAGGAGGAGGAGGAGGAGGAGGGCGGAGGGGGGGGGAGGGGGGCCGGGGCAGAAGGAGGCGGAGAAGGAGGAGGATAATGATGTAGGATGGTCCCACGACCCAGCCCCATTGCCCCCCCCTCCCTGACGGCTACCTCTGATCGCATCCCCTTGTAGCAGGGTTTTTCAAAACGTAGCAGAAACGCATGGGCTGTCCTCTCCAAACCATTCCTCTCCTCTTCCTCACCTGTTCCTCTTTCTCATCGTCCTCCCCTCCTCCTTCTCGTCATCCTCCTCCTCCTCTCCTCCACCTCATTCTCCTCTCCTCCTTCTTCCACTTCCACCGTCCTCCGCTCATGCCCCCCCACCATTCCTCCTCCATTCCTCACCTCCCCCTCCGCTCTCCTCCTCCTCCTCCTCTCCTTTCCTCATCTCCTCCTTCTCCTCCTCTGTCCCCATTTCGCCCTCCTCTCCGCCTCTCTGCTGCGTCCTCCTGGGCGATCATCCTTCCCCCTCTCCTGCGATACCACCCCCCTCCTCCTCCTCATCAACCTCCTCCTACTCCTCCCCCTCCTCCTCATCCTCCGCCTCTCCTCCGCCTCCTCTTCCTCCTCTTCATCCTCCTCCCCCTCGTCCTCCGTCTACAACTCCCCATCCTCCTCCTCATCCTCCTCCCCCTCCGCCTCCTCCTCCCCGTCCGTTTCCTCCTTCGCCTCCTCCTCGGCACCCTCTTCCCGCCCTTCATCATCAGCATCATCAGCATCAGCATCATCATCATCAGCGTCATCAGCATCAGCATCATCATCATCATCAGCGTCACAAGCATCATCCTCATCCCCATCCTCATCCCCATCAGCATCATCATCAGCATCAGCATCATCATCATCCGCATCAGCAACATCATCATCACCATCGTCATCATCATCCTTATCATCATCATCAATATCACTAACACCACCATCATCAGCCTCATCATCATCATCGCCATCATCACCATCCTGGCTATCACCATCACCATCAGCAGCATCATCATCGCCAGCCTCACAATCCTGAGCATCATCATCATCCGTACCATCAGCATCATCATCATCGTCATCGTCATTGTCATCAACATCAGCAACAACATTATCATCATACTCATCACCGTCAGCAGTATAACCATCATCATCATCATACGCATCATCATCGCCATCATCAGCATCAGCATCAGCATCATCATACTCATCGTCATCGTCGACAGCATCAGCAGCAGCGGCATAGTCGCCATCATAATCGTCAGTATCCTCGTCATCACCAACACCATCATCATGTTCATTATCAGCACCACAACCAGTAGCATCAGCATCATCAGAAGCAACACCATCATCATCAGCATCATCAACATCAGCATCATCATAAACAACAGCATCATCGTCGTCAGAATCCTCAACATCATCATCATCATCATTTCTCCCCCCCTTTCTCCCAGTCCGTATACCCTACTCCCCCTGCCGATCCTGCCCGTCATTTTTGCGAACTAGTGATCACCTCCGCGAGGTCAGGGACAGAGAGCGAGGGATCCTTCTACAGCAAGGAGGAACTGATAGACATGTTCAAGAGGAGTGAGCATGGCGAGAACTACGTATTGTGGGCTACTCGACAGGGCCTTCTCGAAACATGCGAGAAGCGTGGTTGCCGCGCCTACTATTTCGAGCGCGCAAGTCCCAGAGGTTCGGCAGCAGGACACCGACAT